GAAATCTTTGAGCAGGAATGGGAACAATGGATCACCTGTGCTAGTCATTCTCTTATCTCCTATGACAGCCTCTGCTAAAACACTGTGTTCTCAATCTCTGTGCAACCTCACAATCATTCTCAACCAGTTGTCCAGTTATTTTATATCTATAATACCATATGAATATATGTGTTATATATATTGTATATGTAGTATATCTTATATAGAGTATGTGCAATATATGTATATCTACTATATATTTATATATAGTATCAGTATATAATCTATACTATTTACATGATATATATTATATGATATATATTACATACAGTATTCCATATATAATATACATACAATATATAATAATATACATATAATGTATATCATATTATTTATATGTATACATATTATGTATATATGTATAGTTACATAGAATACATATATACATATGCATGTATATACAAATGTATGTATATATCATATATATGTATATGTGCTATATATGATATATACTACATATATACATTTATTATGTTATTATATATAAAATATATAATATATAATATAGCAATATATGAAATATATGTGTATATATAAAAAATACAGTCAGAGACAGCAGGTGAAATTTTCTTGCAACCGGGTTCCAGATTGAGTAACTATTATTTATTTATTATTGTACTTTAGATTCTGGGGTACATGTGCAGATCATGCAGGCTTGTTGCATAGGCAATGTGGTTTGCTCCCTCCATTCCCCCGTCACTTACATCTGGTATTTCTCCTCATGTTATCCCTCCTGACCTTTCAATGCCCTCGCTGTCCCTCCCTTGGCACCCCCAACAGATCCCAGTGTGTGATGCTCCCCTCCCTGTGTGCTCATTGTTCAACACCCACCTATGAGTGAGAACATGTGGTGTTTGATTTTCTGTTCTTGTGTCAATTTGCTGAGAATGATGGTTTCCAGATTCATCCATGTCCCTACAAAAAATGCGAACTCATGGTTTTTTTATGGCTGAATAGTATTCCGTGGTGTAGATGTGCCACATTTTCCTTGTCCAGTCTATCATTGATGGGCATTTGGGTTGGTTCCAGGTTTTTGCTATTGTAAACAGTGGTGTTATGAACATATGTGTGCATGTGTCTTTATAATAGAATGATTTATAATCCTTTGGGTATATACCCAGTAATGAGATTGCTGGGTCAAATGGAATTTCTATTTCTCAGTCTTTGAGGAAGCACCACATTGTCTTCCACAATGGTTGAACTAGTTTACACTCCCACCAACAGTGTAAAAGTGTTTCTATTTCTCCACATCCTCTCCAACATATGTTGTCTCCAGCTTTCCTAATGATAGCCATTCTAACTGGTGTGAGGTGGTATCTCAGTGTGGTTTTAATTTGCATTTCTCTAATAATCAGTGATGATGAGCATTTTTTCATATGTTTATTGGCCTTATATATGTCTTCTTTTGAAGAGTGTCTGTTCCTATCCTTCTCCCACTTTTGGATGGGTTTGTTTGCTTTTTTCTTGTAACTCTGTTTCAGTTCTTTGTAGGTTCTGGATAATAGCCCTTTGTCATATGGGTAGATTGCAAATTTTTTTTCCCATTCTGTTGGTTGCTGGTTCTCTCTAATGATTGTTTCTTTTGCTGTGTAGAAGCTCTGGAGTTTAATTAGGTCCCATTTGTCTGTTTTGGCTTTTGTTGCCAGTGCTTTTGGTGTTTTAGTCATGAAGGCCTTGCCTATGCCTATGTCTTGAATGGTGTTGCCTAGATTTTCTTCTAGGGTTTTTTAATGGTGTTAGATCTTATATTTAAGTCTTTAATCCATCTGGAGTTAATTTTAGTGTAAGGTTTCAGGAAGGGGTCCAGTTTCTGCTTTCTGCACATGGCTAGCCAGTTTTCCCAACACCATTTATTAAACAGGGAATACTTTCCCCATTGCTTGTTTTTGTCAGGTTTATCAAAGATCAGATGGTTGTAGATGTGTGGTGTTGCTTCCAAGGCATCTATTCTGTTCCACTGGTCTATGTCTCTGTTTTGGTACCAGTACCATGCTGTTTTGATTACTGTAGTCTTGTAGTATAGTTTGAAATCAGGTAGCATGATGCCTCTGGCTTTGTTCTTTTGCTTAGGATTGTCTTGGCTATGCAGGCTCTCTTTTGGTTCCATAAGAAGTTTAAGGTGGTTTTTTTTCAGTTCTGTGAAGAAGGTCATTGGTAGCTTGATGGGGATAGCATTGAATCTATAAATTACTTTGGCCAGTATGGCCATTTTCATGATATTGATTCTTCCTATCCATGAGCATGGAATGTTTCTCCATCTGTTTGTGTCCTCTCTTATTTCATTGAGCAGTGATTTGTTGTTCTCCTCGAAAAGGTCCTTTACATCTTTTGTTAGTTTTATTCCTAGGTGTTTTATTCTCTTTGTAGCAGTTGTGAATGGGAGTTCACTCATGATTTGGCTCTCCATTAGTCTGTTTTTGGTGTATAGAAATGCTTGTGATTTCTGCACATTGATTTTGTATCCTGAGTCTTTGCTGAAGTTACTTATCAGATGAAGGAGATTTTGGGCTGAGATGATAGGGTCTTGTAAATATACAGTCATGTTGTCTGCAAATAGAGACAATTTGACTTCCTCTTTTTCTAATTGAATACCATTTATTTTTTTTCTTGCCTAATTGCTCTGGCTAGAACTTCCAATACTATATTGAATAGGAGTGGTGACAGAGGGCATCCTTGTCTAGTGCTGGATTTCAAAGGGAATGCTTCCAGTTTTTGCCCATTCAGTATGATAATTGGCTGTAAGTTTGTCATAAATAGCTTTTATTAATTTGAGATATGTTCCTTTGATACCTAGTTTATTGAGAGTTTTTAGCATAAAACACTGTGAATTTTGTTGAAGGCCTTCTCTGCATCTATTGAGATAGGCATGTGGTTTTTATCTCTTTCTGTTTATGTGGTGAATTACATTTACAGATTTGCATATGTTGAACCAGACTTGCATCCCCGGGATGAAGCCTACTTGATCGTGATGGATAAGCTTTTTGATGTGCCATTGCAATCGGTTTGCCAGTATTTTATTGAAGGTTTTTGCATCTGTGTTCATCATGGATATTGGTCTGACGTTTTCTTTTTTTATTGAATCTCTGCCAGATTTTGGTATTAGGATGACGTTGGTCTCATAAAATGATTTGGGAAGAATTCCCTCCTTTTGGATTGTTTGCAATAGTTTCAGAAGGAATGGTACCAGCTCCTCTTTGTATGTCTGGTAGAATTCAGCTGTGAACCCATCTGGACCTGGAATTTTTTTGGTGGGTAGGCTATTAATTGCTGTCTCAACTTCAGCCCTTGTTATTGGTCTGTTCAAGGTTTCAAATTCTTCCTTGTTGAGGCTTGGGAGGGTGCAAGTGTCCAGGAATTTATCCATTTCTTCCAGATTTACTGATTTATGTACATAGAGTTGTTTGTAGTAATCTCTGATTATAGTTCGTATTTCTGTGGAGTCAGTGGTGGTATCCCCTTTCTCATTTTTTATTGCATCTATTTGATTCTTCTCCATTTTCTTTTTTGTCAATCCGGCTAATGGTCTATTTTGTTGATAGTTTCAAAAAACCAGCTGCTGAATTTATTGATTTTTTGAAGCATATTTTTGTGTCTGTATCTCCCCCAGTTCTGCTCTGATCTTAGTTATTTCTTGTATTCTGCTAGCTTTCGAGTTTTTTTGATCTTGCTACTCTAGTTCTTTCAATTTTGATGATAGGGTGTCAATTTTAGATCTTTCCTCGCTTCTCTGTTGGGCATTCATTGCTATAAATTTCCCTCTAGACACTGCTTTAAATGTGTCCCAGAGATTCTTGTACGTCATGTCTTCATTCTTGTTGTTTTCAAAGAACATCTTTATTTCTGCCTTCATTTCATTGTTTATCCAGTCGACATTCAGAAGCCAGTTGTTCAGTTTCCAGAAATTGTGCAGTTCTGAGTTCGTTTCTTAATTCTGAGTTCTAATTTGATTGCACTGTGGTCTGAGAGGCTGGCTGTTTGTTATGATTTCCATTCTTTTACATTTGCTGAGGAGTGATTTACTTCCAATTATGTGGTCAGTTTTAGAGTAGGTGCCATGTAGTGTTGAGAAGAGTGTATATTCTGTGGATTTGGGGTGGAGATTTCTGTAGATGTCTATTAGGTCCACTTGGTCCAAATCTGAGTTGAAGTCCTGAATATCCTTGTTAATTTTCTGTCTCATTGATCTGTCTATTATGACAGTGGAGTGTTAAAGTCTCCCATTATTATTGTGTGGGAATCTAAGTCTCTTTGTAGGTCATTAAGAACTTAATTTACGTACCTGAGTGCTCCTGTATTGGGTGCGTATATATTTAGGATCATTAGTTCTTCTTGATAGATTGATCCTTTTACCATTATGTAATGCTCTTCTTTATCTCTTTTGATCTTTGTTGGTTTAAAATCCATTTATCAGAGACTAGGATTGCAACTCCTGCTTTTTTTTTGCTTTCCATTTGCTTGATAAATCTTCCTCCATCCCTTTAGTTTTAGCCTATGTGTATCTTTGCATGTGAGATGGGTTTCCTGAATACAGCACACAGATGGGTTTTGACTTTTTATCCAATTAGCCAGTGTGTGTCTTTTGATTGGGGCATTTAGTCCATTTACATTTAAAGTTAATATTGTTATGTGTGAATTTGATTTTGCCACTTTGATGCTAGCTGGATGTTCTGCCCATTAGTTGACGCATTTTCTTCATTGTGTCAATGGTCTTTACCATTTGGTACATTTTTGCAGCGGCTGGTACTGGTTGTTCCTTTCCTTGTTTAGTGCTTCTTTCAGGAGCTCTTATAAGGCAGGCCTGATGGTGACAAAATCTCTGAGAAATTGCTTGTCCATAAAGGATTTTCTTTCTCCTTTGCTTATGAAGCCTAGTTTGGCTGAATGTGAAATTGTAGGTTAAAAGTTCTTTTCTTTAAGGATGTTGAAAATTGGCCCCCACTCTCTTTTGGCCTGTAGGGTTTAAGAATATGGAACGCTTTGTGAATTTGTGTGTCATCCTTGCACAGGGGCCATGCTAATCTCTGCATCGTTCCAGTTTTAGTATATGTGCTGCCGAAGCGAGCATGAGTAACTATTATTTACCTGTGTGTTCCAAACAATAAACTCTAAATTTTATTCCCCAAAGGTTAAAAACATTTTTTCTTATCCTTGCTTCTTGATCAACCCCTACACACAGTGGTAAACATTTGTTCGAAATTCTTCCCTCCTGGTCCTTGGAAAGCTGCTTCAGCCTTTTGCATTTGTTTCTGGATAGCCATGACTGGCTTTGTACTCCTCATTCTGTGTCCTCTTGGCTTTCTGCACATGATGCTCTCTGACTTTCAGCTTTGAGGAAGTAGAATGCTCCTTCCCTCTGAAGGGTCAATTTGCTCCTTACAGACCCATACACTTAGAGGGCAAACCTGCCAAACCATGGAAATACTCTCTCACTCTCTATAATATTAGAAAACAATAAAAAGCGATGAACAATGGGCAAAGGCAACAGCAGAGGTAAATCTGAAAATCACCAGGCTGGGTGAAAGAAACAGATAAGAAAAGAGCATATACTGTTTGATTCCCTTTCAACAAAGTTCTGAAAAATGCAAACTACTCTATACAATGAGGATAAACCAGATCATTGTTTTCCTGGGGAAAAGGGAAGGGGTAGGAGGAGAGTGCAAAAACAGGAAGGAGGGGAGGAGGGCTGGAGAAACCTTTTGGGTTAATGGTTTTGCCCATTATCTTGATTTACCTGTGTGTACATGTGTATACATTTGGCCAATAAATTGTCTGATACTTTTGGGTTTTGATTTTGAGCTTTTTAGAGGCAAGAAAGAATGACATTTTATCTATTTTTCATTATGTAGCTAAACTATTTTGAACATTTTACTCAATACTTCATGAAGTATGAGGTTTTCCACTTTGGTTATTGGAAGAAAGAATTATTCCTGGTCCCAGTGTCGTGGCAGGGAATGTTTTCTCATATCCTTGTTGGTGCTTCCCTGACACCCATCTATCTCATAAAGTCTCTTTGCACACATGTGCTGATTAGTGCTCAGCTGAAGACTCAAGGATGACTCTAGATCTCTGGTGTTCTCTGTTAGGTAGCTCTCTCTGCTGTAGTGCTCTGTTCTTCAAATTCCAGTCATTTTGGTTTCCTACATTCTCAGCTCCATCACCTCAACTCAGTGAGACCACCTGGCTCCATGGGGAGTCCTCTCCCTGTGGCCTAGAAACTCTCTGTGCTGTCAGCTGGGTAGTCAGAGGGCTCACCTCACTCATTTACCTTCTCTTACAGATCACTTTCCCTGCATTGGACAGGGATCTCTAAGAGAAAGTAAATAAATGAGGTGAAACTTAGGCTCAATGTCTCCAAAAATGTTTCATGTGTTTTAAATGTTGTCTTTTTAGTTGTTTTAAAGAGAAGGTAAATCTAGTCTCTATTACTGAATCTTGACCAGAAACACACATCTGTCTCCTTTTGGATTTATAAATGGCTTGGGCCATTTGATGAAACATCTCCTTTGGACTATTCTTTCAGAAGTTGCCTTCAACTGGAACTCTGGGATATTTTCTCAGTGGGCTGATAGCACATCTTCTTTCTTGTTTACATATGTTAGAGAAGGGAATTTGGGCATTGCAGCAAAAATATTTTTTGTCTTACAGCTGATATAGTATAAGGGAGTATTCTCAAACTGAAGGTCTAAATCTAACCCCAAAATGATGTGTGTGTGTGTGTGTGTGTGTGTGTGTATGTGTGTATTTTTGTCTACACAGTGATTAAAAAAAACCAGATTAGTTTTAAACATGAAAACACTGGACTTTTCCCATGGATAGCTGAATTCCCAGCTTCTCTTGAAAAGTCAGAAGACCTGATAAATTTGGCTAATGTTCCCACAGAGTACCGTTTATCAAAATACACTGGTGCCTTCCCCCTTTTGAAAGGCTGTGCACACTCCACTTTGACATAGGCTTCCTCAGGCCTTTACCCCTTATTTTTATTACTTGACTAGCCCAGAGGCATGAGGATCTGTGGCTCTTATTGTAGAGGTCAGGAGCACAGACTTTGGAGTTCGATTCTTTGCTCTAGCATTTTGATGACCTGACTGAAGTTTTTTCTCCTTCTGCAACTATTTCCCATGCTCCTACAAATGCTCTTCTTCTCCTTCTGTCTCCCTTATGTCTATTTTCTACCCTCTTAAAGGTTCTAGATTTGCTGCCCCATAGGTCTGCTTCCTGTCTAGCATGTACGTTGACTTTAAATTATGTGGCCAACTTGTGTTTTATGTATTTCACATCCAATTTCCCTTTAAAAAGAGTTTCTTGAAAATGTGGTACATATACAATATGGAATACTATGCAGGCATAAAAAAGAATACAATTATGTCCTTTGCACCCATATGGGTGTAGCCAGTGGCCATTCTCCTGAGCACGTTAATGCAGAAACAGAAAACAAAATACTGTATGTTCTCACTTATAAATGGGAGTAAAACCTTGCCTGCTCATGGACATAAAGATGGCAACAGTAGACACTAGGGACTACCATAGGCGAGAGAGTTGGGGATGAGCATTGAAAAACTAACTATTGGGTACTGTGCTCAGTACCTGGGTGATGGAATCATTCATATCCCAAACCTCAGCATGCGAAATACCCAGGTAACGAACCTGCACACATGCTCCCTGAGTCTAAAAGTTGAAAAAAATAAATAAAAATATTTTTATATTGACTCAGTAAATCACTATTATTTCTTGTGGGCAAGTGCTTTGTAGTAAGAGAACTCAGAAGCCAGAAGCCACATTAGGCGATAGCTTACAGGTCGAGTTCCTATTCTTGGGGAACTGGGTTTTGTTCAATGTTGTAGATCATATGATAAGCTTTCTTCAGAAAAGACTGGGCTTGCCAGGTAGTGACAACGTAATAGATTTCTCTACACTACCGCATCAAATTCACTTCATTTTCTACTTAGGCCAGATTGCGTTCAAGCAATACATTTTCAATAATGATAATAACAAATGTCATAACAATTACCACAGTAATAGCTACTCTTTGTCAAGCACTTACGTTTTCCCAGGTATCACATTAAACACTTTACACAAATTAGCTTATTTTATCACCACAATAATGCTAATGATTATGGACTTTATCCTTCCCCCAATTTCAAGTATGGGAAAACACTCTCAGAGAGGTGAAGTGAGTTTTCCAAGCTCATGTCAAAGTCAGGAATTAAATTCAACCTGGGAAAAGTCTGATTCTGAAATTTATTTGCATTGAAAGAGAGAAATTCAGTGACCATCAATACAGGTATGTTACGTGGAACAAATCTGTGAAGTGGGGCTTATTTTTGTGTTGTAGAACCTCTCATAGAAACTAGCAAGCTTTGGAACCAAAAGTGGAAAGGGCAAGGAGGGTGTTCAATGGAATCAAAGTGACTCCCCAGAAAGGCAGCTGTTTTACATCATGGAAACAGTAGAGCTTCCAGCAGCACCAGCAGACGTGGGTCCCAGCCTACCACTCACATTCTCCACAACCTTCTGAGAGTTACTTAACCTCCATGAACCTCAGCTTCCTTTCCTTAAAATAGAACAATCTGCTGCTGCATTGCTAATGATGCTCACGAAAGGTAGTCCGTGTGAAAAGAAGTTTAGCAGATAGGGTGTTTAGTAACAATCAAAATAATAGTTTATTCTGAAGGGCTTTTTGGAAGATAAAGGAAGCTAAGACATGCCAATTGCCTGAAATGTAGTAGGAACTCAATAAACGAAAACCATTCAGGGCCCAAATCCCATCTTTGCAGTTCCAAAATCCAAAATCCAAAATAGAAAGTTGGATGTCAAAATGAATTTTGGAGGCAAAATCTGACCTGAGGTGATGTGAGGCTACTTGTCTTATATAAGTGAAATTTGATGATGAGATTCTGTGAAGCATTCAACCTATATATATCTTGTCATACCTCCAAGGTCTGAGCATGTCTGAATTCTAAAACTTCTCTGACCTCAAAGATTTTGTATAAGGGATTGTGGACTGGTATTATTATCATCCCATTTTCAGTTTCCTGTTGTTTTATGAGTCCTTGTAGAAATAGCACCTGCCTTGTTTAAGGTTATTTTCTCCAACCCCTAACATAAATGCCAAGGACAAGGTTGATAATTTATAAATGTGTATTGATGAAATGAATAAAAGATTGATAAGACCTTGGTGATGAAGAAAATAAAGAGTCCCAGAGAATGAGAGAGGAAGAGTATGCATTATTTTTCCTGTTCCTTTCCTAGGCCTTTTAAAGGACCATGGGCTGTTTGAGGGGCCCATATCATTAACTGGTGAGTGGGGAGGAGGGGCTGGAAGCAGCCCCAGAATCCTGAAAAGGCCGCTCAAGGAGCAGAGCTGGCAGCAGCTCTTGTGTGCAGTGATTCCATCAGGGAACACAATTGCCTTTTTTGGAGGGCTGGCTCAGACACAGCTGGTGTTACAAACTTTGCAATCCTAATGCAAGGAAAAGCTGGGAAAATCCCACAAAGTGAAATTGTATCTGCTTGTGGTCAAGTTGGGACTCCAAATTTGGACAGTGGAATTTGGTGGGAAAATGTGAAATGCATCAGGGGTTATATAGTGAACCTAAGATTTATTGCTATGGCAAGTGGCTATTTCCAGAAGAACTAGCAAGTTGTGGTAATATTTCTGTGAAGGAGGAGAAGAGGGAGGGACCTGCAGCTTACTGCTGATGTGATCAACCTGTTAAGATTTTTGAGCAAATGGAAAAATCAAAGTTGTTCCATAATGCCCGTCAGATCACTGCACACCAGTATGTACAAGAGGATTTAAAAAACATGAAGTCAGTTGATTAGAACATAAAATACCAGAGGTAGTCAGAGCAGTTGGACTAGATGCCAAAATTATATGTTTCCAAGCTTCTGTTTTAAAGCTATTCAAATGTATCCCAGAGAGAGAAAGAGAGCTGGAGGCCAGAGGTAGCCAGCTCAAACTGGGACTGGCTCTTAACTGGCTGTCCAGGAGCGTTTAGGGCAAAGGACTGCAGTGCGAAGCCATCTGTGAATGAGATATAGCACAGCTTATCTCCAGTTTAGCTG